TCCTGCTGTTGGCTTAAGTTAGGAGTTCTCTCATGTTCTCTAAATTGTAGTTCTGCCATTCTCTCCTCATGTCTTAAACGCTCCCTTTCCCTTTCTACCTCAGCCATTCTTTCTCTCTGCCTCTCTTCAGCTTGCATTTCTCTCTGCCTCTCTTCAGCTTGTATTTTTTCTCTCAGCTTGCCTTCTTTCTCTTTCAGCCTGAAACTCAAGTTCTCTCAACCTCATTTCCAGCCTAAGCTTTTCAATGGCCAAAGAGGTAGCTATCTGTTCTTGTCTACCCTCTGGTATTTGGGTCTCAGTTTCCTCAACTACAGAAACAACTGCCTCCCCTTCTCTCTCTGGGTCTTCAGGAGTACCCTTCTTTGTCTTTGGTGGTGCCATGGTGCCTAATGTGTTGTAAAATGGCGCTAGAGGTGTTCTCTCTCTGAGGTAATTCTTGGTGTCACGTTTTGACAAAATTTTACCTCAGGATTCACACAAAAATGCCCTGGATTGAGATGTTACACGAATCCACACCGCTGCAAACCAATTATAAGGACTTAGAGCTTATCAAGGCAGGGGGGTCAAAGAATCCCACCACTGTCCCTCCTTCAATAAGGAATTCACACCACTTTGGCTCTTATAGTGTTTGAGGGGATGTCTCGTTATGTAAAACCTTCGCTGCCACCATAAACTAAAGAAACACGAACCCTCTAGCTATTTAGAATGTTAAAAGGCTGTTTAAATTATTAAAAGGCTTTTTTACTCCACCAAATACTGTGTATTATCAAGGGCTCTCTTTGAGGGGAAAACAGGAGAGGTTGATTCAACAAGGAAAATGACTCCAACCAAAAATGGCACTTGACTCAGGCTTCAATTTTAAAAATAACAAGAAAGAGTTTATTGAATATAAGTTACAGAATTAAAAGTAAATGCAGGTTCAGAGGCTTGGCTGTTACAATAAAAGTGTTCTTGGATCTTTGAAGCGTAATGGTTACTTGAGAGAATGGTTCTTTTCCTTTTTTACAATTTCTAACACAAAACCCAGCTATTTTCTGTTCTAAAATAGCTGTAACCCAGTCTGCCACAGCCCACTTTGCTGTGCAAACTACAGGCAAGCTGCCTATTCTTAACAGAGACTCCTAAAACTCCCAAAACCTGCTCTAACCTCACTCAGAACTGAACTCAACTCTACTCAGAACTGAACAGAACTCAACTGAACTGTCAAAATTATCTGCTCTCTTTCCCTCCATCTGGCTAACTCCACCCCTCTTTTCCAAACCAATCCTGGCTGTTGCTGGGCTGGCTCAGGCCTAGGCCACTCCCCCTCTCTGAACTGGAGCTTTTCCCTAAACTAAGATGGCTCCAGCAGCTCTCTGCCAGGCCTTCTAAGCTGAAACTACCTAGCCTGTCTCTTCCTGGGCCCTGCCACCCTGGCTGGCAAGGTAAGGGATCTTCACAGCAGCTCCTCATAGGGCTTGTTCTCCAGACCCTTGATCATTTTAGTCGCCCTCCTCTGGACACATTCCAGCTTGTCAATATCTCTCTTGAATTGTGGTGCCCAGAATTGGACACAATATTTCAGATGTGGTCTAACCAAAGCAGAATAGAGGGGTAGCATTACTTCCTTAGATCTAGACACTATGCTCCTATTGATGCAGGCCAAAATCCCATTGGCTTTTTTTGCCGCCACATCACATTGTTGGCTCATGTTTAACTTGTTGTCCACGAGGACTCCAAGATCTTTTTCACACGTACTGCTCTCCAGCCAGGCATCCCCATTCTGTATCTTTGCATTTCATTTTTTTCTGCCAAAGTGGAGTATCTTGCATTTGTCACTGTTGAACTTCATTTTGTTAGTTTTGGCCCATCTCTCTAATCTGTCAAGATCGTTTTGAATTCTGCTCCTGTCCTCTGGACTATTGGCTATCCCTCCCAATTTGGTGTCGTCTGCAAACTTGATGATCATGCCTTCTAGCCCTTCATCTAAGTCATTAATAAAGATGTTGAACAGGACCGGGCCCAGGACGGAACCCTGCGGCACTCCGCTCGTCACTTCTTTCCAAGATGAAGAGGAAGCATTGGTGAGCACCCTCTGGGTTCGTCCATTTAACCAATTACAGATCCACCTCACCGTAGTTTTGCTTAGCCCACATTGGACTAGTTTCCTTGCCAGAAGGTTATGGGGGACCTTGTCGAAGGTCCCCCATAATCAATGTATAAATACAAGTTAAAAGCAAAGTGAGGTGAAATCTTCTGAACTGGGGCACAGGCAGCAAAACAAATGTTACAGGGGTGTTAATCCTTCCTATGTTATCCAAAGCATGCATGTGTGCCTATATATATATATATATATATATATATATATATATATATATATATACCTATATCATCCATCCATCCATCCATCCATCCATCCATCCATCCATCCATCCATCCATCCATCCCCTGGAGTTAACTTTTTAAAAACTTACATGCAAATTCAACTTAAGAACAAACCTACAGAACCTATCTTGCTCGTAACTTGGGATTGCCTGTATAATAAAACTTAACTGCTTCCCACCCTCAGTTTTACACCACACGCTAAAGAGTTTAAAAAAATTATAAATGAACTTGAATAGTTACATAATTACCTTGCGAATAACTTGTTGTTGCTGCAGGTGTTTTGCTCTCAGTTCTGCTACTTCCCTCCAAAGAGATTCATTTTCTCTGTTTCAAAACATTTACAGTCAGTGTAATGAGTTAGAACAGTTAACACAATAAAACACTTGGCAATGTAGCTATAACAATGTAGTGGTATTAACAACAGGAAAAGTGACTGACCATTTTAGGACAAAGCAAGAAGGCTTGGAAAACAACCGATTCTAGACACTAGCTTGCGAGCTTTCCCTATTTCAATGCTCTCCTCTGCTTCTGTAAATCATATTACACTGCATTATCATAATATTTACCTCTTCAAAGCAGAGAGCCTAGATTCAATCGTCTCTTGTTTAATTTGAACCTTTTGTGCATTACTTATGATTTTAGACAGGTCTTCCTGACGAATTTTATTTTCTTCAGGCCTTGAAGAAGAAACCTATAAAATCAACATCAGAAATGGATGTTTTTGAATGGAAATGATGTTATTACTTCCTATAAACTATTAATAAATAGCCAGACTACAAACTGATATAATCTTTTTCAGAAACCGATGCTATGAGACACACATTTTGAAAGGTTCTACAAAACGTCTCACTTGCCTTTCTTTTAATGTGCTCCAGTAAATCCTCCTGTCCTTGCTTGAAGTAGGGATGCTGAAACTCAATAGGACCATCTTTTTCCAATTTAACAATGCCTGAGTCAATATGGACTACCTTACGAAAGCCATCTGGAAGAAGGAAAAAATAAAATAAAATATGCAAAAACTACTGGAATAGTGAAGGCTACAAATCAGAAATAGTAAAGTGAAAAATTCCAAAATTTACAACAAAGTAACAAATCTCTTTTATCTGGACAGAGGCTCGTTGAATTAAATCCAATATGTATACAGTTAGATGTTCTTGGTATGACACGGAAGTGCTGACACTGCTATAAAAATCTAAATTTCTGTATTTTAAATAATTTTAGCCATTACCAACATGGGTTTCACTCCTCAAAACAATTAAGCACATGCTTTTATTCTAAAATTCCTTATAAAACTAATTTTATGTATAGGTGACAGACATGGCTAAAGCTCAGACAAACCATATATTCATGTAGTCAACCATGGAAATTACTCTCTCTTGAAAACCATTTTCAGAATCAAATGTTCTTTTTTGTGGTTACTGAAAATATGCAAAATGTTTACCGATTGCTTCCCTCACATACTATTTTTGCCAAAGAACTGCAGCTGCATGCCATACAACACTGCTTGTACCCAGATTATCAAATCTAAGTAACAAGTAAAACATTTTGCTGACATAAAGGCAGGAATCCATTTATGGACTAATTTACACTAAAAGTTCTAAATTAGAAATTTAGATTATAATACTGGAAGCAATTTTATATACTGCCATAAAACTCACACATATTCAGTTGTCTCACGAAGCTTGCCATGTTGTTGTGCTTGAAATACTTTGGAAGAATCTCTTTGGAAAATCTTTGTTCATCCAACACAAGGAAACTCTGGCCATTCTGAAATTGAAGAACATATTATTATTCATTTACATTCTGCCTTTCTCCCAATTATGGAACTTCACATGGCTAATAACAGATTTAAGACAATAAAAAATAAAACTATACAAAACCATTGATAGAACTATAAATATAAGATTTAAAGAGCAATTGAATCATTTCTAAAGTTAAAACATTAGATATTAAAAATCCATTCAAAGACTGTTGCTGTTGTGTGTTTTCAAGTCATTTCCTAGTTATGGTACCTCTCAAGGTGAACTCTCATGGGCTTTTATATAAATCTTTAAAATAGCACCATGTGGCATAAGAAGTCCACCCCGAGTCAGTTTGTGAAAGACTAACAGGATAAAAGTGTTTGATTTGCTCAGGGGAGGAGTCAAGAACAGGACCATGATGGCATTTCTAGGGAGAGAACCTTGAAGTTTGGAAGCAGGCACTGAGAAGACTCTCTTTCTAGTACCCACCACATGTGTCTGGGAGGGTTGTGAGACAGAGAACCTATCTTGTTCTTAACATGGGGACTGCCTGTACTAGAAAACTGATGGTTAAAAAACACAAAAACGAAATTGCTATATCTGTGGAGATTTATCACATCTACTTCCTGCTCTTTCTTAGAAGTTTATGCTATCACACAGATATCTAGTTTGACTTCCAACAAGTCACTGAATAAATTCTGAACTGCTTGCCGTAAAGACAGTTTGGTCATCATCTGCTTCAAGATATGTCCTTTATAACACAGATATGGAAAGATACAATTTGCTACAGAGAGAAAAACATAAACTTTTAGTCTAATATCTGAATACATTTGAAAGTATTTCACATATTTCTAATCTTTTCAGTGAGGTCTTGCAGGTCTCCTTTTTCAGAGCATCTGAAATGTCAATAACCATGAACAAATCAATCCAGGGCTTTGAGAAGATATGCTATCAATATGGTGATGGCACCACCTCAATAGAAAATGTTAATGGTAATCTCTTTCGAGAAATTTTTAATATTCTGCCAAGATGACAAGTAAAACCGAAGAAGAACCCATAGTAAAGATTTTATCATAAATGCTAATTATACAACATCTAATTAGATTTTATGAATATGTTAACAGGAGTTGATGGAGACAGGAATTAATCTGATCCATTTTTATTCTGTAGGCTGTGTATATAAAATATATGCAGTTGTGGTGATGCAGCAGACAGAAGTGCCCCATTGACCCAAGTATATGTCTACTCATGGTTTTTGAGTTAAGTATATATGGTAATGCTTGTCTGATTCAAATGAAAGCATTTTCCCTTGAAACCAACTTGAAACTTTCCAATATTTTCTGTCACTCAAGTTGGCTCGGATGAAATTGCCTATTTTAAAAAAAATTAAAGTAAGAATTTTACATTTATCTAATGTTTCAGTTTAACCCATATACATGATTGTAAAAATGTGCGCGTTAAAGAAAATGAACTATAAGGACAAACAATTTTATTAGTTCAATTTAAAATTTTCTTTGTGATTCTGGTGTATCATGTCAAAAATATAATGATCACCTAGAGCCGGTACATTTCCTGAATGCCTTCACAAATTAATTCTGCTTTACTACTAGAATGACAAATCAACTCATTCTGATTGACTGAATTAAAATCTTACTCTATTTATTAGGGTTTTTTTGGGGGGGGGGTTGACTGTACCTGATAAATGGGCAACCTAAGTGGTTCATTATAGTTCAGTTGTTTCTTAAAGTTCAAGGCCTTCTAGCTGCACGTGTAAATCAAAAGCAAATTCAATTTGTATTTTCTAACAAAACTATTTCTATATACCAAACAAAATACTTCAACACTAACCAAAATTATATACTGCATAAGGAATTTTATGTTCCTAAAGAAACAAGGTGATTTTTAGTCTCTAAAAGTCCCACCAAACATATACTTTATTTCTTCAGCTTGGTGTCTAATCATATTCAGCAAAATGACACCACTCTGGGTCCACTAGATGTGGAATCAATAAAATGGGGCCTATCGTCCTAAGATTTTCTTCTCTTTCTACTTCCCATCCTCCTGAGACAGAACAAATCAAAGAGACGTTGTACAGTAAGGATTAGACTTCAAAATACAGTCTACAGTTGCTACTGAGCATAAATACAACATTCTGTTGTTAATTTAATTATCTTAGAGGGAAGAGGATTTTTTTAAATATCTTCTGTTGGCAGCCAGTTACCTGGGGACAAAATCAAGGGTAAGCATTATTTTATGTCATATGAAATAAGCAGTAATAAAAGTAGAAATGTGTGTCTGACTATATTCATTATTAATGGTGGCTACAACCATTGGCAGAAGAGATTTGTATCACTCATGAGCAATAGTTGTCTAACCAACTAAATTCAGGTCCCACTAATTTATATTTTTGAATAGGCAAGGAAGGAACTAGCAAAAGCACATCTCAGTATTCCTTGACTAAGAAAACTCTATGAAATTAATGGGATCACTGTAGATCGACATACAACTTGAAGATACATGCACCTACAATGGTTAGTTGCTGTTCTATAGTCCTTACTAATTAAAATTACATTATAGCTGCTTGCTTAGACCTATATGCGAGTTGACTTATCCACCAGTCATTGGGTGTATCACACCTTCTTTTTAAAGAAAGGACCATTCTCTTCTCTGAAAAGAATGGTGAAAGGTATGAATTTAGTCTGTGCCATAAAAGTACTGGCGCTCTCTACTCCTTCCACCAGGGTGCCACTTGGAGGGAGAAATGCTGGCGATCAGGGGCGGCTGATCATCTGAGGTGGCTTTGGCATTTCCACCCCTGCACAGAATGATTTTTGATATATATCCATGAGTCATATTGAAATCCATGATTTTGGCCCCAAATCCTGCCCTTGGCATGCACACACACACACACACACATATATATAGAGAGAGATAATTTGTACTTCAGTATACGTGGTACTTTCATTCTAATTTGTCTAATATAGGAAATAAAGATTCACTGAGTTAGTGCAGCTATTTCAGCTAGTAAAATAATGTTATCAGTTTTTGTGAGGCAAGAAAATATGGCTAGTTTGCTTGGAATTAAAATCCCACATGGGCCCTACTGACAGAATTATGTCCTTGTGATTGACTCATTTTATTTCACTTTGTCAGCCATCTTCATTCTATTGTGAAGCTCTCTGGAGTTTCTTATATTTGAAGCAGTTCCATGAAGAAGCTTGGGGGTAAGATATCGGAACAGTGGGCTAGGTATAGCTCAAGAAATGAGAAACAGCAAGAAAAGATAAAAAGTGAACTTTGAAGAAATGGACGACCAAGAAACATGAAACCGAAAAGTCAGAGAAAGGGACTTATATGTAAACTGTGACATCATGGGAAAGGTGGGAATACTAGCAAAGGAAGCTAAAATAACATGTAATGGGCTAGAAATCTGGGCTTGGGAAACAATGAAAAATGGAGAAAAGATGAATACACGACTCTGGCAAAGGTTCAAGAAAACTGAAAGCCACAGTACAACACCCCCAGCTGACAGTCCTAGAGCTGAAAGTGATGTTGTACCTTTAGCAGTATTACATCCTACCACTTGTAGCTTCCATTGTTTCAGGATTGTGAAAGGGAGACACGGAGGCAGGGGTTGAGAAGTGCTGGTATCCAGATATTAGCTGACATCAATTTCCATCACATCCAGCCAGCTGAGCCAGTTGTGTGGTCTGATGTAATTACAGTCCAATCACATCTCTAAGGCCACACTTTCCTTTGATTTTTGACAATCACCATAAAGGGGCTTGCCCTCTGTTATCTTGGAGACCATGGCTGTTCTGCAAGATGTACTGCAGAATCCTGGCTGATATTGGATTGGACAACAGTAATGGTAAAACATGTAAGAATGGGTGCACTGATCTATATGACAACAGTTTTATAAGGTGAGCCAAAACCTGGATAGTTCTTGGTTCATTCCTCAGCCTTAGCCAATACAATCCAAGAGTCTATCATCTTATTATGCAGGTCATTGCTACACCACAATAAAACTAGTTTTATATAGCTTAGTCATTTGCTTGTTAGGCTATGACTATGAAGACCATTTTTGGGCTTTGTTCATCCACAGAAACCTTCAAGAAGCCACACTTTCTCAGGCTCAGAGACAAGGCACAGACAAATCCCCTATGAACAAATTTTGCGAAGAAACCCCTATGATAGGTTTGTTTCAGGATCACCATAAATGGGAAATGTCTTGAAGGCATGTGATAATCCCTATCAAAAAGTTCTCAGTTACCTATACATGAAGTGTGTGTGTGTGTGTGGAGGGGGGGGGGGAGCACCAGTCACTGGGAGCATTTTCTTTTGCAACAACCCTTTTTATAAACATACTAACTTGACAAAAGAATAAGAGCAATGAATATTAACACATGGGACATAGGATAATCCAACTCAGTGCTTAACACATTCTCAACTCTTATTCAGTCTCGTGTACCAGTAATGTCCTTCTACTGGAGCCAACTACTGATAAAGGTATAATGCTGCACTGATGTATATTCATTTCATTACTGTATCTTCTGCTGTACTAGCAAAGTGATTTAGTAGCAATTCTATACTAACTTGATAGAAACAGGATGGGGAGGGTTGGGAAGACTGCAGTATAAATCTATTTTCTGATATTTTCAAATGAATAAAGAATCTATTTTAACCTATTCAGAACAAAGTATTAGGAAAAAATAAAATCTATAAACACAATAGATCACCATATACTAAAAATAAAGTGTGACTGTTAGAATGGTAGGGAGTGTGACACTAGGACAATGTGAGAAATGAGCGCCTCTAATATCTGGACACTATTTGCCTTAGTCATGCAAAGGCTATGTTTGAAAATTTACCACCCAGACATTCCTATCACACTGTTCTAACCTGAACAAAACACAAGACAAACAAGATGCTATTATCACAAACACAGTATTTGATATTATATTAGAAGCAAGGAGAAAGAATATGATGTAATGATTTTGGAATACATATTTTGCTCATGTGGATATATCTTGTGCTCCTGCAACCAAAGCAGCACTGAAAAAAGACTGATTACACAGAAGCTATGCCAATCCTTGACATAAAGGATTTCATTCATGGGTATAGTTAAAAATGTTTTCATGTTAATATTTTGGGGACTTGGAGAAATGACATTGATGCAAAAATAATAAACCGAATATTTCATATACCTATAATCTCTTCTACCCACCCCCAAAGCCACATTTTGGTCCACCTAATACCCCACCCAACATGTAAACTATACTCAAATGGAACTATAAAATATGAACCTATAGAACTATGTATCATTTTTATATTTAAAATGTTATATAGTATTTTAACTAGACTTATAATATCTGATGAAATGAGTCCTACTCTGCATTCATTCCACAAGAAATATCTTGTGTCGGCTGAACTGCTGACCTGAGATGGGGTGAGCTCCCATCTGTCAGCTCCAGCTTCCCATGCAGCAACATGAGAGAAGTCTCTCATAGGCATCCCCTGGGAAATGACTCTGCAGACAGCCAATTCTCTCACACCAGAAGCGACTTGAAATTTCTCGTTGTTCCTGACACACAAAAAAATCCTCATCGAATTTATTATTATTTATATTTATTTATTTACTACATTTATACCCTGGCCTCTCTCACCCCGAAGAGATCTCAGAGCAACTTACAAGTTATATGCATATATAATATACTAGCCATCCCTTGCCACACATTGCTGTGGCCCAGTCTGTGTAAATGTGTTTTGTGTGTGTGTGTGTGTGTGTGTGTGTATCTATATGTGTGTTTGTGTATATATATGTGGTTTTGTGCATGCTCTGTAATGTATTTTTGTTTTTTTGGCTTTTTAAGTCTCTTCTGCTGTGTTTTCCAATGTTTCTGAGAGTGGTCACTCGTTGGTGTCTTGTGTCCAAATTTGGTTTCAATTCACCCAGCGGTTTTTGAGTTATGTTAATCCCACAAACGAACATTACATTTTTATTTATATAGATTATACTATTAGCACAGCTCATTAGCATTATTTATTTATTTACAGTATTTATATTCCGCCCCTCTCACCCTGAAGGGGACTCAGGGCAGATCACAATGCACACATACATGGCAAACATTCAATGCCGTTTTTGACATACAAGACATAACAGACAGATTGAAGTCATTCAGCAGTTCTTCCACTTCAGATCCTGGAGGCTGCTCGACTCCGGTCACAGGGCGAGCTATCGCTTCATCCACTATGATGCCAAGCTTTTTTATCATAGTATTTCCTCCTTGCTCTACGGCAGTGTTTCTCAAACTGGGGTCCTCAGATGTTTTGGGCCTACAACTCCCAGAAATCCCAGCCAGTTTACCAGCTGTTAGGATTTCTGGGAGTTGTAGGCCAAAAACATCTGGGGACTCCAGGTTGAGGAACACTGCTCTACGGCGTTTTTATGGTGTCATAAATTAACCTCCCCAATTTAAGTGGTCCCTAATTTCTCTACTCACAGCACAGCTGTTTTCGAACTGCTTAGGTGAACAGAAAGCTGGGCTATTTAACAGTTGGGAGCTCAACCCTGACTTAGGCTTCTTGCAACCTTTTGGTTGGCAGTAATTTATTGCTGCTAGTGATTAATCAGATGTGTTACCATTATATATTACTATATTATACTATATCACTATACTGTAATAGTATTAGTAATATTACATGTAATATATAATAAATATTACTATATTGTATTATTAGTAGTAACACATTGCAATACGTTAAATATTATCATCAATATTATATGTATATACAATATATATTATCATAACACAATATTATTATATTCTTGCTGAGGGGAGGGGCCACCAACTGATGGCACTACTGAGGCGTGTCTTTAAGAAGACCTAGTTTGCTAAAAAGAGTACGGATGAGATGCATGAACCAGAAACTTCAGAACTGACATGTTCAGCAAAGTCCCAAGATGAGGGTTTGAGCTTCTGCATCAAACATTCAGGACTAAAGTGACACGTGCTTTTTAATATTATTTCTAACTTTGCGCGTAGACCCAACAGTCATTTCCAGAAAGAAGAGACAATCTGGGAGGGCTCGGAAATGACATTTCCCGACACGCGAATAACCTCTGCCTTTCCCCTGCAATGGATGAGGCAGGGTGCAAGAAAATGTGTCGGGGGGGATAGGTTAGACACGTGTTCTTCATTTCCGCACCGAGTGTACCCAGGGCCAGGCCAGTCACGTCCGGAGTGTCACTTTCTATAGCAGGCGCCCTCCCTCCGGCACCTGATCCCGCAAAAGGAAGCGGGCTCATGGGGAGAGGCTGTCTTGGAGTTGTGGTCAATGCTGTTGGGGGTCGAAAAGGCCTCGACTCCCTTTGCCAACAGAAGCCGAAGACCTCCTCCCCGTTAGAAAATAAAACCACGTGACTGACTGAGGCTTGTCCCCGCCCCTCCCCCCCCCCGAAGGCCAGGCCACGCCCCCTCCTCTTTCCCCTCGGGGCCTTTTGTGCGACCGAAGGGAAGAACCATTATGGGCTTTTTTTTGGGGGGGGGGGTGATGGGGGCAAAACAAAAGGGACACTGATGAGAAATGGACGGTACTAAGGGGAAATGAAAGGGGACGGGCAGCGCCAAGTCATGGCGGTACAACGCAGGGGAAGACATAAGGAGGCCTCCCGCCTCGGGCTCCCGCGAGAGAAGCGCCTTACCTGGCTCCAGGTGATGAGCTGGTTGCTCGGCGCGTCGCCCACCAGGGCCCACAGCTTACTCAGGAAGGCCGGGACCGCGGTGTTGCCGCCCGCGTTGGCCGCCGCCGAGGAGGCAACCGGCTGCTGCTTCATGGTGCCTGACTGGAGCGAACCGAGGCCGAGTAGTATTGGTGGTAGTGGCGCTGTTGCTGGCCCCGCCTCCTTCGCGAGCCCGCGCCTGCGCAGCGAGCGCGACACGCGCAGAGCCGCGAGCTCACCCTTCTCGCCCCGCCCTTTACATAACGGCCCCACGTGCTCGGCCCCTCACGTGCCACAACAGCGCGCCCTCCCCGCTTTCTTTGGAGGCGGCGCCGAGGGTGCTCATTGGCTGCCGGCGAAGGGAGACGGAAATTTCCACCGAGGTGGGATGCAAAGTAGCCTTGCCGGCTTAACCAATCGGGGAAAGGTTCTCCTAATAAGAATGGGAGACGCGGGGAGGTGGACTGCCGTGCGTGCGCGCGTGTTGGGCTAAGGGTCACGTGGGAGAAGAGGCAGTCGCCATGGCAACGCGGGACAGGCCTGGCGGAGAGCGTTTCTCTGACGTCCTCGATGAGAAGCGTTGGGGCTGTAGTTTCAGATGTGTTTTTAAGTCCTGTGAAACCCCACTATGCATGAGATTGTACTATACATTTTCCCCTCCCCCCCCCCCCCAGTGTTAAGATGTAAAGTAACACAATTTGTACACTGGATTTATTCCCCCAATTTCGCGCCTTCTACTTTCCCAGGCCTGAAATCCCTAAAGTCACCAAAACTTGTCAGATCTTGGAAATTAAGCAGGATCAGCTCTGGCGAGCCCATGAAATGCCTCCTGGTGTAGACTATTGCAAAGGAAGGAACTGGCAAAACAACCTCTTGACTATTACCTCAGCAAACCCTATGAAATTTATGAGGTCACCATAAGTTGACAGGCAACATTAAAAAAGCACGCATGCACATACTGTAAGACTTGTTAGTGTTAGTGGGCCAAGGTTAAGTGTCTTTGTGGGGAGTGTGAGGTAAATCTGTGTGAGAGTGGAGGGGACGTGGTTTTAAAAAGGAATTTTCAGAGATCTTCCCAATGCCCATATATTATGATTTACTGCCATATTGGCCTATTTCTGCAGTAGGCCTATGTTCACAGAAAATGCTGATTGAGAAATCAGTGCTCCAAAGAAGAAGTTACTATTCAAGGATAACAGTATATCCGGACAAAACCTGTTGGCTAGTTAGAACCCCCAAGTTTCCCAGTCGCTCTGAAGCCATGTTTGCAACAGACTAACAGATAAGATACAGTCATGGTTAGAGAACAATGGACTATAGTTATGTTATAGTTGTGCCATTGTTAAGATCCCACGTCTGCTATAATGTCAATCAAAACCATAAACAACTAATGAACAACTGTATAGCTAACTTAGACCAATGAAATGATTTGTCTTTGGGAACCAATGAAAATGTATATTCCATTTACTATAAATGCTCTGCAGCCCCTTTGATTGCAACCAGTATGCTTGTTTGTCGTTATTGCTATGGCCACGCAATAAATAGTTTTTTGCAGTTTAAAAGATTCAACTTTCATGGTGTCCATCCTTGCCCTCCCTATTAGAAAGGGGGCTTCTGTCTTTTTGGGAAATATTTTAGTTTTGTTGCCCCTACAAGAGTAGCCTTGTGTGAGAAAGCTCCATTGTGAAGGCTGCTGTGTGTAAAGCTACTATGTATTTGTTTATTGGTGTTATGGAAACCTCGTTGTTGTAGATAGTGCAACCATATTATTTTAGTATAAAGAAAGCCTCTTATGGAAGAGATAACATTGCTCTGTGTGTTTTTGTTCTTTTTATCACTTTGGGCTACTGGTGGTGGGCCACGCTGCTACTAATAAGTTACTCTGCTGTGCATTTATGAAGAGGGTATTTTATTAATAAGCCCACTTGCCCAACAAGACTGACTGGTTTTGGTTGCTTTTGTTATTAGAGGGGCTGGGCTCATTACAGTACTACTTCTGTATCGCCAGAACTGATATTTGTGGTTTCACTTATTCACTTAAGCCTCAGACCTCCTTTACAAGCTGCATCCTCTTCTCAAGACCTCTCTATCAGCAGGCACCAGCCAATTTCTCTGCAATGCCAGAAATACAGCTTAATGGTGTCACATCAGAAAACATTGACCATTTCCACTACCTTCGCAGCCACTTCACCACAAAAGTCAACACTGACACTGAAATACAACACTGTTCCACAAGAGAGTCAAAATGTGGCTTTGTGACCAAGCCTTTAGATAACTCGTGCAATAGATAAACTTGGCACAATGTGAAATGACAATTGGAACAGCCCAGATTATGCTCATGGATTATTTATTTAACTCTGAATGTATTGTTTTTAAATGTTTAATTGTTTTAATTGTATTTTAAAATTCTATTTTAGTATTTATTTAAGTGTACATTGTGTTTTAAGGCCTGTATGTAAAGCCTTGAGTCCCCTCGGGGGTGAGAAATGTCGCAAACAAACAAATAAATAAATAAATAGGTCTCTTCAGTCACCTATGGACCCACAAGTGATAGCCTATGATGATGATTTTTCCCATTGAAAATAATAGGAATTAATTGTGCTTTCACATATCCATGCAAAGCCCAAAAAGTAACTTCTTCAACTACTTGTTTCATGATGATAAAGTATACACAGTTCATGGCACAGGCTATCTAAAGGCTATACTGATAAATGCCCTATTTTGGGGCTATTTGAAGGCTTGAGCATTAAGGATGTGTCTATACGCTAGAATTAATGCACTTTGACACCACTTAAGCTGCCATGGCTCAATGATATTGAATTTGAGTTGTAGGTTCTCTGTGTGAAGTCTGAATAATTGAGCAAACCACCTTTTGAGTATCCTTTGCCAAAGAAAACCCTCTGAAATTCATGGGGTTGCCATAAGTTGACAGGTGACTTGAAATCACGTACATGTCATCATACATCTATTTTGTTTTGTATTCTGATGACAGTAAAAACTGAAATATAGTAAATTGGATGCATGCAACCATTTTTGTTACAACCCATTTTCACTTTTGTCATGACAGTCAATAAAAATTCTACTCCCTGATTTTTTTCCAGTCACCAGATTTCTAGTATTACTGTAACTTAAAACTTCAGTTGAATGTGTAAAAATAGAGTGTAGACAACTAGGAAAAAGGGCAGGCAAAGCTACAAAATGCAAACACAGTAAATATAAGTTCTAAGAATGAAAATGAAAACATCATTTTATGTTTTGCTCTTTGCAATCCTAGAAATGAAAACATCATTTTTATGTTTTGCTCTTTGCAATCCTAGACATTTTGGGATTTATTAAAGCATTGGAGTCAAGAGTCAAAGGTGGGCCATGCCAACTGCACAATCCTGGCTGGAGCCAAGTGTGGGCAAAGCCAGAGCCCTACAAAGCCAGCACTGCATTTTTCTCCATAGCGCCTTCGCCATCTAGTGGACTGTTGGGAGAAGAACAGAGCACTCTTGCTCAATGTCAGAAGATTTTTTACAATTAAACCCATCAAGGCCTATATGAATGTGTATTGAGTGCACAATAGTTCTCATCGCACCTCCCTGTGCTACTACTTAGCCCAGACCTCGTAGGATATCCCTAGATAAAGGAACAAAAAACCTTGTTGCATTTGTATCCAATGTCTTTGATCAGAAACCAATTATAACCAAATTCAGAAATGAGGTTGTCAGAAATGAGCATGCACAGTCTTAGAATGAGATAGGAACAGGATAATATTAATATATTAGGAAAGCCCCTACTTTAAAAACCTTTAAAAAGAGTCTCAAGACCTGGCTCTGCCGTTGCACTTTCGGAGAGTAGTCACATCATTTTATGCTATTGCTCCCTCAACGTTCTTGTCCCAGGAGTTCTCCCCCCGCCCTTGTATGAAGGTTTGTTTGTTTCTCTCTCTCTCTATGAGTTCTCCCTTACAAATAGTTCTGCTCCTTTATCTCACCCTGAGTTTTTAAATCATTTTATGTACATGCGGCCCGCTCTCTGTCATTATGTTTGGTTTCTATGTTTTGTGTATATTGTTTATATGCTTTGATGTTTTATACTTTATTATTATGTTGTTTATTTTACTGCAATTTGTATTTTTGGATTGTAATTTGTTGTTCGGGCTTGGCCCCATGTAAGCAGCTCCGAGTCCCCGTTGGGGGAGATGGTGGTGGGGTATAAAAAAAGATTATTATTATTATTATTATTATTATTATTATATAGAATATCAGGAAGAAGAATTGGGAATATATGCATAGACAAGAAATTATCACATTGTCAAAGGCTTTCATGGCCAGAACCACTGGGGTGTTGTGTGATTTCTGGGCTGTATGGCTGTGTTCTAGCAGCATTTTCTCCTGATGTTTCACCTGCATCTCTTGCTGGCATCTTCAGAAGATCTTGCAGTAATAAAGCAAGTAGAGTATATATATCTGTGGAATGTCCAGGGAGAAACAAAATCATTATCTGTTAAACAGGTATAAAGGGTGCAATTAGCAAGCTAGATTTGTGTGTGCTGAGCGTATCTAGGTGGATCCCAGGCTGCTCCCAGGCTGCACAATTCCAATTCAGCATCACTGTTTATGCCCTATTAGGCTGTTTTCAGATTGTAGTTTTTATGAAAAATATTTTTCATTTGTTCACTGATACACTATTATTATTTCACCATACTAATATAACCCCAATGCTTCCAGATGATTTATCACAACAGTTTTATGTAGCTTTTACACAATAGCATTGGAGATAGAATGGCATCTTGTGGCATAAGCTGGAAACTACCTGAAAGATAGGACTAGAACCATGGACTCACTTTTGCTCTGATTCTCAAACTCATCAGGCATGTAAGAAGGATTCCATGGTCAATGCTGGTGCTTGAACACGCTCTTCCATCAATGCTCAGACAAAGATCATCCAGTCAGGCGACCATTGCAATCTGAACTCTGTTTCCTTCTCTCCAAGCCAGTTTGAAATGGGTCAAGGAAATATAGATCATCATAGACTTCCTAGAATTGCAAGGTGACTGTCCTCTCAACCACCTTGCCAAGAAAAGGAAATTTGATACTGATCTATCATTTTTAAAATCTAGGAAGGGTTTTCTAAGAAAGGATCGCACCACTACTTTAAATTAGATGGAAAACTTCCCTTCAGAGAAATGCATTGATAAAATCTTGTAACAGAAATTGAATTATGTATCC